GGAAGGGGGATGGGATGGGGAATACATGTAAATCCATGGCTGATTCATGTCAATGTATGACAAAAACCACTACAATACTGTAAAGTAATTAGCCTCCAACTAATAAAAATAAATGGAAAAACAAAAGTTCTTTTAAAGCTCAAAGGTCACATTAACTTGGGTCGTATTTTTCCCAGTTACTCAAAGCCAGCAAGAAGGTGAGGATTAAAAGGGAAGGAAATCCTTTTATCCCCCGCCAGACTCTTCTTCCAATGTGCTTTGTCAGAGGGCTTCAGGTTCCTTATAAGTGTCGGTGGATGAATCCCGATTGAGGCAGCGATGCTCTGCTTCTTCTGAGCTATGCTGCCTTTTCCTCCTCTCATCCACTTTGCACCGCCTGCGTCTCGATTTTCTCCTTAGGCCTCGTGACTCAATTCCTTAGGGGCCCAAATCTTCACTGGACCTTGCCCCAGGGGATCTTGTTACACATTTCATGTAAATTCAACTGCTTTCTTATTACAAGTAAGATTTAGTTCTGTTTTTCTTCTGCATAGAGAGATTCAATACTTATAATCTAAGACAGTGGTCCCCAACCTTTTTGCGCCAGGGGCTGTGTCATGAAAGGCAGCTGGCCCAGGGTGGAGAAGGTAGTTTCAGGATGACTCTCATAAAGAGCACACAACCTAGACCTCTAGCCTACATGGTGCACAGTAGGGCTCCCACTCCTAAGAGAGTCTAATGCCACCAGCGATCTGACAGGAGGTGGTCCAATGTGGAGTGGCTGTAAGTGCAGATGAAACTTCCTTCCCTAGCCTGCAGCTCACCTCCTACTGTGCAGTCAGATCTCTAACAGACCACTGTCCAGCAGTGGTCCCTGGCCCAGGGGTTGGGGACCCCTCATCTAAGAAATCAGAGATGCCCAATTTTTTCCAGTTGCCAAAGAGAAGTATGAATATTTACCAAACAGCATTCTCTTTGAAACATGCAGTAGCTGACCCTACTTTTTAAGTAAGCCCACTAGATACAGCTCACTGTTAATCCGTGTGTGTGTGTGTGTGTGTGTGTGTGTGTGTGTGTGTGTGTGTGTAATCACACCACACACAAAGCATCATGCTGACTATCTATGTGTTGACTTTCAGATACCATTTGCCCAGGGCAACTTTCTGGTTAAACATCTGGACACAAAGCAAAACTATATCGATACATCTGGAAGGAATGCTCCTTTGAGACATTTAATAAATTATACTTCATTGTGTAATTATTCTTTATTGTTTATTTCTCTCAACAAAATGCAAGCTCCATAAGGGCATGCAGCGCATGTCTTTGTTTTTGACATCAGCATATCTACTGAAAGTGTTAAATCTACACTTACTAATAAACACACAAACCAACTCAGCATAATGATAAGGAAAACAACATAAATGCCAAGAGTAGTACACATATATTAAGTAGATGTCTTGTGTCAAAGCTATGGTCTGGATGCTTGTATCCCCTCGGAATTCCATGTTTAAATTCTAACCCCCCAAACTAAGACATGGGGCCTTTGGGTGGTGCTTATATCAGGAGGGTGAAGCCCTCACGAATGGGATTAGCACTCATCACAGAGACCCCACAGAGTTCCCTGCCTCCTCCCCCACGCATGAACACAGTGAGAAGGAGCAACTCCACCCGAACCAGAAAGCGCGCCCTCCATAGGACAAGACCATGCTGGCACCTGGATCCCGGGCCTCCCAGCCCAGGAACTGCAAGAAAACCAACTTCTTTTGTTTTGTGGAATTTTGTGACAGGAGCCCAAACAGGCTAGCAGAGCCATGCAAGTGTTCAATAGTTACACGATACAGGTAACTGATAAACTGAGCAAGTGAATACACAGGATATAGTCAAAATGCTGCTTTTTTACAGTTATTCCGTGAAGATCACCTTCCTTGAGCGTGAAGGTCGCCATATAGCTTCCTCTTCTGGGAAGATGGCTCTTCCCTGATTACTCGTCCCCTTCTCACCCCCCTAGAGCCTGGAAGACATAAAATGGGTTCTTTTGCCTCTTCTTTGTATTTTGTATATATATACATCATCATATATATCTCATCATATATATATTTGTCACCTTCATTGCAATACTAGATCTACAGCACATATGCCACAGGCTCATCAAGACAGGAAGAATGCTAACTTAGCATCTTACTGCAGATACATGAGCTCATTCAAACCATTCAGTCACCTGACGAAGTGGAAACTCTCATCTCCACTGTAGCAATAAGAAAACTGAGATTTACGGACGCTAAAAATGTTGTGTGGGGTCACAGCATGCTGGAGACAACCATGGCTGAGCCCTTGGTTGGCAGCGGTGAGCCTTGGCAAATAAAGGCATTGATAAATACTGCAGATTAAGGCTAATGGAGGAAAATGCCTATGCTACATTCATAGACATTGAGGATGAGATTATTTATAAATGAAAAGAAAATAGGGCTGCATGTATTGGATGACAGCTCCCATGTCTCCACATGGAGACACTGAACCCCAACTTCAGAGGTGGCTAAATTCCAGGTGGCCACCCAAGCGCCCAGAAGATAATTCCTGAGAAAGGGAGACAGTGGCCAGGGAGAGTAAGTGCCTCTCATCACACTAGCTGCCTTCCTCCACTCACCCACACCACCGGTCATGTTTCTTTCATAATCTGCTGTTACTGTAAACAATTCTGAGCTTCACTTCTACTTTCATGCCCATTGTGATTTATTACACACATTCAAGTGGAGCTAGTGGAGACCCTTTCTCTACAGAGTAGGAAAATATACATATATATCTATATCCATCCTCATAAGGGGTTTTAGGCACACCAATTAAGCATATCCACTTACTTAACACTTTCCTTATGACTTAGGGGAAAAAAATACATGTTCACAAAACACAATATTGAGGCATGAGAGGCAGCGAAAGTCTATACATCATCTGAGTTTTAGAAAACCAATGTGCACTTTATAAACATCAATGCTGAGCTGAAAAAGCCAAATTCACTCCCCCCACACTCCAAAGACACCTATTACCAGTTGAATTATAGTAATAATAGCAACAGAATAAACTTTTAAAATTGTTCCCAAATATAGTGTAAGATCGTATATATATGATCTTATGCTTTATATATATATATATATAAACATATATATATATATATATATATATAAACAAAGATATAGAAGAAGAGAAGGGGGTGGAGGGAGACAGGATGGACTCACCTGCATGCAGTTTGCAGGCAGAGAAAATGAGGAAGTGATTCTTTTTATACAACATAATATTAACATAATTTAGCCATTCTAAATTATTATTTATCTATAAATTCTAAAGCAAGGCAAAAATGTAAGAATAGTCAATCATCTCAAAACAGAAATTCATTAAGAAAAACACAGAGTCCCAGATAGCTCAGTGGTGTCCCACGCTTTGTGACCCCATGGAGTGTAGCTCACCAGGCTCCTCTATGGAATTCTCCAGGCAGGAATACTGAAGTGGGTTGCCATTTCCTTCTCCTTGGACTGTAATAGGTAAAATGGAATTTGTACCCCAAACGTACTACAGAAACACTATATATAACATGCGCATGACAGACACTTTGTGAAGGAACTTTTCCACAAACTGTAAGATTCACTTGAAACTTGAAAAGACAGTCTCTGTTACTAAAGCTTACACCACTAAAGTGTAACAAAAAGGTACATATACTTCTACCAGGCAAATAAACCCACTCCCTGAAAATAACTTAAAAACACAAGAATACTAAATTTCCCAGAATGAGAGGAACCAACGTCCTGAAAAACTCTTGTAACTCATTGGGCGCCTGTGGTGACGTTTTTAAACTCCACATCCAAAAATAAAAGGAAACAAAACACTAAAACCTTCCATTTGCTTGGAGACTGACTGGAGCATCCCAAGCCCCACTTTTCTTCCCTACTTTTACTGAGACTTAATTGACACACAGCTTCCCTGAGAGCTCGGATCCCCTAGAGAAGGGAAAGGCTATCCACTCCAGTATTCTTGGGCTTCCTTTGTGGCTCAGCTGGTAAAGAACCCGCCAGCAATGAGGGAGACCTGGGTTCGAACCCTGTATGCGCGCACCCTGAGCCCAGCACACGCGCCTCTGAGCAGGCTCGCGAATCCCAGAGCCCTGCACACACACACCCAGGCCCCAGCGCGCACCTCAGATCCCTGCACACGGGCCCGGAGTCCCACGCTTCGCTCATCCCTTGGTCGCACCTCGGATCCGAAGGTTAGGAAAATGCCCCGGAGAAGGGAAAGGCTACCCACTCCAGTATTCTTGCCTGGAAAATCCATTGACAGGGGAGACTGGCAGGCTATACAGTCCATGGCACAGCAAAGAGTCACACTGCTGAGCGGCGTGTGAACTTAAACTAACCATCAGACATATGGAGGAGGCCAGAAGACTACCCCAGGAAGTTTAGTTAACATTTCTGTCTTCATCCGGTTACCAAAATAATAATAATTTTCTTGTGATGAGAACGTTTAGGATTTGCCTCCTTAGCGTGTTTCTAATCTACCATAAAGCAGTGGTAACTACAGTCACAGTCACCGTGTTAGACATTACCAGCTAATGTAAACCCTGCAGGCGCACACCCCGAGTGCACGGCACACGCGCCACGCTTGCGAATCCCGGAGCCCCGCACACACGCCCCCAGCTCCCAGCGCATATCTCGGATCCCAGCATACACGCCCCCAGCCCGGGGCGCGCACCTCGGATCCCAGTTCACTGGCCCCCAGTCCCCAGCGTATATCTCAGATCCCAGGACACACACCCCCAGCCCCGAACGCACTTGTCGGATCCCAGCACGAGAGTCCCCAGCCCGGAGCGCGCACCTCGGATCCCAGCACACACACCCCTAGCCCCGAGCGTGTATCTCGGATCCCAGCACACGACCCCAGCCCGGAGCGCGCACCGCGGATGCCCGCAGGAGCGCCCCGTTCCCACCCACCCCGCCAGCCCCGCCCGCGCCCAGAGCCCGCGCGCGCCGCTCGCTCACCCTTCTCGCTGACGCTCTCGCTCTCCAACTCCACGTCCTCGCAGCTCGTGTACTCGGGCGTGGACACACCCTCTTCTTCCGAGCTGCTCACGGACATCTGGCGCCGCTTGCCGCCCCTCTTGGCGCGGTGCGGCTTGGGCGGCGACGGCCTCACCGACTCGGACTGGTCGGAGCTGAGCGAGTCGTTGCGCAGCATGGTCTCCACCTTCTCGCGCTTGGCCTTGCGCACCAGGACGGCCGAGCCGGGGTCCAGGCGGCTCTGCTTCCGGAGCGGCTCCGGGGCCCTGGGCTCCGGGACCTCCGCGGGGCCTGGGCCGGGCCGGGGCGCCGGCGGGCTGGGGTCGGCGAGCGGCTGGGCGCCCGGCGCCCGGGCCTCCGCGGTCCTCTCGGCCGAGTAGGCGCGCGGCGAGGCGGGCGGCGAGCCCCGGGCGGCGTGGGGCGCGCGCGGGCCGGGCCTGCCCTCGGGCCCCGCGGCCGCCTCGGTGCGCGGCAGGGCCACGTCGCTGTGGCGCCGCTCGTGCCGGGCGCGGGACACCCGCGCGTGCATGCGCATCTGCTGTTCCTCGGGCGGCGGCTGGACCGGGTACCGCGCCAGGTTCGGGTCGCTGCGGTACCGGGTCTGGTACTCCTCCTCCTTCCGCTGCTTCTCCGCTTCCGCCGCCGGGCCTTCCTCGCGTTTCTCCGGCACGACGGAGTAGTCCTGGGACCGGCCTTTCTCCAGCCTTCGGCTTTCCCGCCTTTCCTTCCGCTCCCGTTCTTCCGCGGGCGCCTCTATGGGAGGCGCCGAGGTCCTGGGCGCGCGTTTGCGCTCGCCCTTTGGGGCGCCTTTGCCATTCTGCTCGGCCAGCCCTGGCGTCTTCTTCCTGGGATGCACAAAAGAACGTGGAGAAGGAGAATCGCGTGTAAACTCAAGGCGAGGACCAGACCCCAGAAGAAGCATCCTTGGAAATAGTTATCCTTCGATGTCTAATTAAAAAGCGAGATGTTAAAAGAGGCTCATTATACCTGGATGCCTGAGTAGCTTTCTAAATAGGGCTCCTTTGAGTTACAAAATAGTCAGCGTCTTCACAACTGGCTTTCAGATTTTTAAATTCTCTATCGTAACTGATAGAGATAACAGATCATTTTAAAAATCAATAAATTAATGCAGTAAAGAAACAAGTTTTATGCTGACCTCTGCTTGTGAACCAAAGCCTTTAACATGTTCTAGATAAAAATAATGTAGGTAATAATAAGTTAGGATAAACCCAATAGATAAATATCAGTTCAAAAATTTATACCTGACATATATTTGGGCAATATATATTAATCTCTTATTGTAATTGAAACGTTCAAGGAAACGTGAATACAAGTATGTCCATTTCAGAAATTAACTCTACTAGCACTTCCGTTGTAGAACAAAAGTAATTTTTAAGAGATCATATGCAGTCCAACACTTTTTAGGGAATTGGTTAAAAAAAAAAAATGGTTGGAGCCTAGCCTTCATTTTACCTTCCCCAGCAAAAATAGAAATGCTGACATTTTGAAATTATTCATTTTTCCTCCCCCGTCAGGCCTTCTCCCTCATTCCAAAATGCAGAGCACGGGGTACCATGTTCAATATCCTATAATAAATCATAACAGAAAAGAGTATTTATTTGTGTTCTACTTTGCTCTCCATCTTGTAGGAGGCACTGGCAAAGAAAAAATAAAGGAAAAATGTTTCACAGTCTGAATTTTTAAATTGCATTGTTTAAGATGCCCCCGGAGAAGGTGATGGCAACCCACTCCAGTACTCTTTCCTGGGAAATCCCATGGATGGAGGAGCCTGGTAGGCTACAGTCCATGGGGTCGCTAAGAGTCCAGTAGGACTGAGCGACTTCACTTTCACTTTTCATTTTCATGCACTGGAGAAGGAAATGGCAACCCACTCCAGTATGCTTGCCTGGAGAATCCCAGGGATGGGAGACTGGTGGGCTGGCGTCTATGGGGTCACACAGAGTCGGACACGACTGATGTGACTTAGCAGCTGCAGCAGCAGCAAGATGCCCCATGCCGCCCTTTTCTGAACATTGTAGTCCACCTGCTTTGGGAAGCTCTCAGCAAAGACACCAGAAGTTACAGAAAGGAGATGCCTTAGCAAAGTATTCAGATACTATATGCTCCACTGCACAGTTAAAATGGAGACAGATAGGCTCTTTCTGGAATCCTTAGATCCATAGAAAGGGCTTTCCAGAGAGAACTGGAATTCCAAAGCAGACTTCACGAACAAAAACTGAGAATAATATGCAAGATGCAGAAAAGTAGAGCAGTTTCTGTTGTCCATTAACAAAGTAGTAATTGCTAAAATATGTTGTGGGATCAGTCTGAGCAGGGGCTGGTGATAATGGCAAGAAAGGGTCAAGGGTTTCCAATGACACAAAAGCAAAACAGAAGCATGGTCAACTCTGCTTGAGGCATTTAGATTACTTGCTCTTTTGAAGTGGGAGAGATTTTCAGGGAGGGTGTAGTTTCATAGGTAGCATTGCTGTTTTCTGGTATAAGAATGCAGTGTTTTCTGGTGCTATGAATGCAGTCATCATAATTAGAGTTTTCATAAAAGTGAAATGAATGTACCGCAAACCTCAGTAGCTCATTAAATCATGGTTGCCCTTGGAAGTTTCTATGGAGTCGATCTTTTTGTTGTTGAAATGCTGATCAATGATGCTAACCTTGCAGAGTTCATGTGCAGATTAAAGGAGACAGCATCTGTGAAGATGCTTTATGAAATGATAGCCTTATATGCAAATGGGACTCTTCTCCTGTCTCTTTAATTCTTGTCTTCGAAATAGGCCTTTTCTCACCTCTAATGTTTCCATCCCCACTAGCTCCTGAAGAGTGTACAAATTAGGATCAAAAAGATTAAGATCTTGTTTCCAAAAGAAATATGTACCCCAGTGTTCACTGCAGCACTACTTACAATAGCCAGGACATGGAAGCAACCTAAATGCCCATCAACTGTTGAATGGATGAAGATGTGGTACATATAATATACAATGAATGGGATATGGTGATAAAAAGGAACAAAATAACAGTAATAAAAAGGAAGAAAACAATGTCATTTGCAGCAAATGGATGAGACTAAAGATTGTCATACTAGTGAAGTAAGTCGGGAAGAGAATAACAAATTTGGTGTGTCATCACATGTATGTGGAATCTAGAAAAATGGTACAGATGAACCTATTTGCAGGGCAGGAATAGAGAAACAGACATAGAGAACAGAACTTGTGGACACAGTGATGGAAGGAGAAGTGAAGTGAAGTGAAGCTCAGTCATGTCCGACTCTTTGTGACCCCATGGACTATACAGTCCATAGAATTCTCCAGGCCAGAATGCTGGAGTGCGTAGCCTTTCCCTTCTTCAGGGGATCTTCCCAACCCAGGGATTGAACCCTGGTCTCCCGCATCACAGGGGGATTCTTTACCAGCTGAGCCACAAGGGAAGCCCAAGAATACTGGAGTGGGTAGCCTATCCCTTCTCCAGCGGATCAGGATTCCTGACCCAGAAATCGAACCGGGGTCTTCTGCATTGCAGGGGGACTCTTTACCAACTGAGCTATCAGGGAAGGAGACAGTGGGGCAAATTGAGAAAGTAGCCTTGACATGCATACACCCACGTGTAAAACAGATGGCTAGTGGTGGAGGGAGAGAGCGGGATGAACTGAGAGACTAGCCCGGACGTACACACACTCCCGTGTGTGAAACATAGCTCGTGGGAAGGGACTGTGTAGCTCAGTGCTCCGTGATGACCTAGGGAGTGGAACGGAGAGTGGGAGGGGGGGCCACAGAAGGAGGGGTTTATCTGCACATATAACTGATTTACTTTGTTGTATCAGAAACTAACACAGCACTGAAAAGCAATTGTACTCCAATAATAAAATTTTAAAAATAATGAAATATAAAACAAGACAGCCAGCTACTCTCCAGTCTCAGCTTATTCTCTGAAGAGCCCTGACTACCAACCAGCTCCCCCTCCTCCTTCTCCTCCAACCCCAACGTCCTCACTGTGGTCCTCGGTATTTATATAATCAGCAAGTCATTTATATCATCACAAGAGCTGTTTGCCCTTATTAGTCTTTTCCAAATTTCATCAAAAAGCCTCTCCTCGGTGCTTACTCTCGACTTCATTGTAGTTTTTCACAGTTCATTATAAGTAGGATGCAAATTTTCTCTTTGGAAACCCTATACCTCCAAACTCTTCCTCTCCTTTAAAAGAAATCCTTTTCTGACCAATCCTGAGCTGCCCTTTCAACATCTTTTCTCTCCTTAACTCACAGCACTTTGTCACCATGCTGCAAGTCCGGCCATCACCAGGGTGGCTCTGATGTCTTGCCATCATGGTCTCTCCTATTTTGCCTGCCCATCCCACAACTTTTGGGTGTCCTGTCTGCCTGTGTTCAGAAAGCACTCCTCTTTCCTGTGGCCTCCAAAGGACTTGAGTTTGTATTGTCTAGCTCTGATCATGTCAGCCCTCTGGGCCAGCTCACTGCCCGGGGCTCTGTCTTCCCTAGGGGATGGCGTGGTCTCTTTCCCAGGATCTGAATGAAAAGGGAATAAGCGCCAGTCATCTTTATGCCCTCTGGCTCCTGCAGTGTTCGCTAATGGTAAACACATGGTGCCTACTGTCTGCAGTCACTAGAGGCCTCCCATGAGCCTGCTGCTGAGCACAGGTGCTCCCCCAGGCCTCCAAGGTGCCCGTGAGAATCCCTGGTGACAAAGCCAGGCCTGGAATCCGGATCAGCTCAGCTTTGAAGTCTTTGAGCATATTATGGGAGTTTGGTTTGACAAGGAGAACAGAAACTTTCCTTAGCTCCTACCCTCGGATCCTGTCGTCACACCCAGTGGAATAAATAAGGGTCCTACAGACGAAAGCAGGCATACCTAGCGCTAACTGTCGGGTGTCCCAAACTCCAAGCCTCGGGAAGAAAAGGGCTGTATTCCGCCTTATTAATGCTGTCCCCACCTATTGCATACCATCCTGTCTGGTCATAAATACACGCTTTTGACTGAATGATACGGTAGATAAATTGAAATTAATAAACTGATCATGTGAGCCCAAGTTTACAAGCCTCCATTGCATTCCATTGTTTTCACAATAAAGTCTGTGAAATTGAACCTGGCTAAAAGGCCCAGTGGGACCTGGCCACTCAGACCTCACTGTCATCCCCTGCTCCCCCATCTCCAACTCACCCTCCAGCCAAGAGCATCCACTGGGTTGTCCCGCTGTTCCTTCTGGCCGGACACCCGTGCACCCATCCCTCGCTTCACCTGGCTCATCTCTAGTCACCTTCAAAGCTCAGCATAGAAGAAAGCATCCTCCGGGAAGGCTTTGCTGATGCACCCACACCCCTAAGTGTGACTGTTCCCCATACTCTTCTCTCAGAGCACAGATCCAGCTGCAGGACTCACTCTAACAGCCAATAAACGGTCCAACGGCTGTTCTCACCAAAGGGTTGGAAGTTAGTAGTACACTTGGGTGACTTGTTTACCTCCATGCGGGACGTGAAAGACAAGCTTCTCAGCAAAGGCCTCCTAAGGAAAGATACATTCTGGAGAGAGACAAAGGCAGCAGGATCCCTATCGCCTTACTGGTCGGGTCCGAGGGGCACCCTTTCTGCATATCCTAGCGGTTCAATTCCTGAAGATGGGTTTGCTCTCCATTTAAGATCTTGCCCTTTGCCTGTGGGTTGCTGACCTCTTACCTGTCCCTGGGAGGCTCGCTTCTAGACCTGGAGGATGCCTGCTTCTGCTCGGGGCCCCCGGCTGGCGGGGCGGGCTCAGCACCCTTGGTCCTGTCCGTCTGCGCACCGGGGGCAGCCTGGTCGGGGGCGGAGGCCGCGGCGCTGCTCAGGGGGGTCTGCGACCTTGAGCGCTCTTGGAGCCGGGCTTTCTTCTCTCTAGGCGCCTCGGAACCCGCCCCTGTAGCCGTGTCGCTGAGCGTTCCGTCCTGACTGGGCTGCTGAGGGCCGCTGCCGAAGAACCATGCCCCTGACTTGGTTAAGATTTCCTGTTGCTTTCGACACAAATTGCATACCCACATAACCTATTTGAAGAAGAGAGAACGGTGTAAATTTTCTGTGCTGTGGAAATAAATTTCTTTTCATCACACTAAAATATCTCTTAAGGCAAAGCAGAATGGTTGTCATCTTTATGTTGATCCTTGAGCAGGTCTTATGAAAATGACCCCTGAACAAGTATATGAATGCGTGCAGCATGACCCATCGGAAACCATAGACTTAACGGTAACCAGAAGAGAGTCCTTCTTGGAATTCATAGTCTATGATGCTGAGTTTCCTATGACCATGTATTCATCACATTTTGAATGGTGACTCTGAAGTTTCATTTAAAATATGCTAGTAAAAATGGTCTAAGCAAGGCAGTTGATTGATTAGAAAAATGTTGTAGGGAACCATGGAATTAATATTTATGTACATACGCCTCTGTGTGTCAAAGGATTTAGAAGCCATCTGTCTTCTCAAGAACCATCCATTATTAAAATCAATATTACAAGATATTCAAGAGGAATAAACAAACAATGAAAGGTAGGTGCCAAAGAACAGGACAGGTTGTATATATTTTCTAGTTTACTAGTAATCAAGTAAGCTCAGCTATAAGAGCTATTTTGGAACCATCACTGGGAAACACATCCGCTGATAAATTATGAAATATATTACCATTTAAAATCTATATAGCTGCTCTCTTCTTGGGAACGCTTACAGTGAAGGTAATAATGGGGACAATGGTGTTCAGAGAAATAATAAATAATAATACCACAGACAAGCCTGCTCAGTTATGCTTCTCAGAATGCACTTCAGTTTTTCTTTTGCATTTCAGAAGCAGCACCTCCGGAAAGGCTCATCACCTATCTCCTGGTGCCCATTTCCACTAATAAGACCAAGTCAACAATCACTCAAATTTATCACGTGAGGATGGATAAATCCTAGATATATCAAGTGAGAAGCAATGTAAGGCAATAGAAGCATGGTTTAGTTGACAAAAAGAAGAAAATAGAATACTAAAAACTTTCCAATGGATATGAGGAAAATTATCACTTGTTACTGTTTATAAGACTAAAGCTAAAATGATAATGAGATGAGAAGAAAAGTAATACATTTTAAAAAGGAAAATATTGCAGATGAACTGCTGAGAACTCCTTCTTTCCAACCAAAAAAATTCAAATGAATTAATAATATGGGGAAAACTAAGATGTAGCAAATATATTTGCTATAATATGTTTAAGATTTATGACATTTAACTCAGCCCTCTATATTTCCTTGGGTCACAAAACAAAGAAAATTTGGTCCACAAAATCAGTTAATTATAACATCTGCACAATGTATTATATCATGGACATCTACTGAAATGTTAGACAAGATGAGCAATATGCTGTATATGCCAATACCAAAATAAAGGAACTATGGAGTGGAACTTCAATTTAACATGCTTGCCAAATATGGCTATACTTTGACAGCATCCTTCCATCTCTTTGATGTTATGAATGAAGTCCCTCAGAAGTTCTGACTGATTGAACATGGAGGTATCAATGACAACGTCGTGAGCATGCTACCCTAGAGTCAGGACTTCCATCAACAGTGACACCATGTGTCCTCCGCCCAGACCCTGGATGAGGACAGGTGACACCCTTCCTCCTTGGCTGCCTCATTGGTTGCTAAGACAGTGAAGAGAAGGTCTGAATTCATGGAGTCCTAGGACATTGATATGAAATTTTGACAATTTCACAGGAACTAAGTAGACATTAAAATCGTATTGATTACACCAATAATTTGCAAAGTATTACTTAGCATCAAGTTACTTTTATACAAAAACATTAAGGTGTACTTAGGATAAATATATCTTTCCTTTAAAACTGTGCAGAGCACAGCAAAATTTATAATTATTACACAAGTTCCAAAATGGAATTAACCTGAGTAAAGAGGCAGAAAAAGAGCAGGAAGGAGACTATATGATTCATAACAAATCTGCATATTTCTTATAAAATTGTTATCACAGTTTTATTTGTTTCATGATTTTAAGTATTATAAAAATGGACTAATAAAAAGTAATTGTCAGATTTGGCCAAGTTCCAAATTTTGTATATGTGCAGAACTGCTGTAGGATTAATAAAAGCAAACAGAATGTGCTTTTTACTAATTCAGTTCAGTTCAGTCACTCAGTCATGTCTGACTCTTGGCAACCCCATGGACTACAGCACATCAGGCTTCCCTGTACATCACAAACTCCAGGAGTTTGCTCAAACTTATGTCCATGGAGTCGATAATGTCATCCAACCATCTCATTCTCTGTCATCCACTTCTCTTCCTGTCTTCAATCTTTCCCAGCATCAGGGTCTTTTCCAGTGAGTCAGTTCTTTGCATCAGGTGGCCAAAGTATTGGAGCTTCAACTTCAGCATCAGTCCTTCCAATGTATATTCAGGACTGATTTCCTTTAGGATGGACTGGTCAGGTCTCCTTGCTGTCCTAGGGACTCTCGAGTCTTCTCCAACACCACAGTTCAAAAGCATCAATTCTTCGGCACTCAGCTTTCTTTATGGTCTAACTCTCACATCCATACATGGCTGCTGGAAAAACCATAGCTTTGACTAGACGGACCTTTGTCGGCAAAGTAATGTCTCTGCTTTTTAATATGCTGTCTATGTCGGTCATAGCTTTTCTTCCAAGGAGCAAGCATCTTTTAATTTCATGGCTGCAGTCACCATCTGCAGTGATTGTGGAACCCAAGAAAATAGTCTGTCACTGTTTCCATTGTTTCCCCATCTATTTGCCATGAATTGATGGGACCAGATAGCATGATCTTAGTTTTCTGAATGTTGAGCTTTAAGTCAACTTTCCTCCTCTCCTTTTTCACTTTCACCAAGAGGCTCTTTAGTTCTTCTTCACTTTCTGCCATAAGGGTGGTGTCATCTGCATATCTGACTTTATTGATATTTCTTCTGGCAATCTTCATTCCAACTTGTGCTTCATCCAGCCCATCATTTTGCATGATGTACTCTCCATAGTAGTTAAATAAGTAGGGTGACAATATACAGCCTTGATGTACTCCTTTTCCAATTTTGAAGCAGTCCATTGTTCCATGTCCAGTTCTAACTGTTATTTCTTGATCTGCATAGAGATTTCTCAGAAGGCAGGAAAGGTGGCTTGATATTTCCATCTCTTTAAGAATTTTCCACAGTTTGTTGTGATTGACACAAAGGTTTTGGCATAGTCAATAAAGCAGGAGGAGATGTTTTTGTGAAACTCTCCTGCTTTATCTATGAGCCAACAGATGTTGGCACTTTGATCTCTGGTTCCACTACCTTTTCTAAATCTAGCTTGTACATCTGGAAGTTCCCAATTCACGTACTGTTGAAGTCAATTAAATTTTACAATTCACCTAATTTTATTTTTACTTTATTTGAAAAGTTACGGTTAATGGTTAGTAGAAGCAGCTACTTCAGCATTTTGTAATATTATCTATTAATTTTAATTTGTGATATTATATTTGTCAAACTTTAACAGTTAGGAAAACTTGTGTAATTCCAAATTTTCCTACATTGTATTTATTTGTGTACCACAGTATTTTTATATTTGTACTTAAAAATTAATTAAAAAAGTATGGTCAACCTATCTTCCAGTTTAAAGCAAAATTAACTGTTAGGAGGTAAAATATTTTTATTAAAATACTACTTCTCCTCAATATCCATTGTTAGTTATTTAAATTATTCTTGACCCTAAGTTTACAAGCAAAAAAGAAATTGCTTATGTGGGTTGTAAAGAAAAATATCTGGAATTGCAATAAAATATTAGTCATATCTTTCAACACAGTTCATATCAAACATTGCAGACATGTATAAAAATGACCAATTAGTTGTTAATAAGCAATGCAGTTATTTGTGCTTAAAGATTCTGTTTTTGAATTTAACATTAACTATTATTAACTATATTGACTATTATTAATATTAACTAATATTAATAAGTCAATAATAATATTTATTCTAATAGTTAATAATAATGTTAACTAATATTAACTATATATAACACACATATATACATGTGTGTGTGTATATATATATATATATATATATATATATATGCATGTCTACTGGTAAACCTCTTAACCGTATTCATAATATATGTTTAAAAGTAGAATGATGTACAGTGATCATTTACTGCCATTTATTGATGATTTTATTAATTTCGTTCATTTCAGTTGTACCAATATTTCTACATATCCATTAGGATATGAACTGCCCCAACATTTTGTGTATTTATCAATTGAATTAATAGCATTTTCTTATCCATTTAATAACTGTTTGATAAGAGTTTTCAAACTGTTACTTGTCATATCAACTATTTTTTTGTTACAAAGATGACTTTCCATTTTACATTGTCTAATCTGTTGTGCTCTCCCTTAATGATTCTTCTGTTGCTTCTAATTTAGCACCAAAAATGCTGTGATAATTCATTTTTATTTTCATTGATTATTCATATGTTTTAATATGTTACGATTTAGTTCTTGATCCCTCAGAATTTATTTCGATGTGTGACAAGAGACGGGGATCTAAAGTGGCTGTCTTCCCCTCAGAGCTAACTACCTTGACATGATGTACTGGATGATCCTTCTCATCTCATCACTGAACTTCAAAGAAGCACGTGGTATCTGAGCAGCCCAGGCCCTCACCTCAGATCCGCCTCGTGCTTGCTGTTTACTCCGGCCCCCTTTCATAGCCTCCATATCTCATCATAAACTTAGGATCCTGGCAGCTCCTAACTCACTGAGTTGTTTGGGAATTAATGACATAATTCATCTAAATCACTCAGCACAGAGCCTGATAGACAGTAAGAGCTTATGAGGCATTAATCACATGGTAATGTCTAATTATTACTAACAATTAATCATTACCATCATCGTTACCTTGTTCATCATATGTATAAAATTTTGGGGGCTCTCTGTAGCATACAAGGCCAGCAAGAAAACTGTATTTTGTTCCTGCAGAGAAAGAGACAGACGTTCCTGTGCACTTGTTAATTCAGCCACATCAGTTA